TTGTTGGAAGCCTGCCAAGAACAGAGATCTACTATTTTGATTTGATTCTACTATCGATCGTTCACGATTTGATTCACTTTACTGGGCGAGCTTACCCCTAATCTGCGAAAAAATAAAGGCTCTGTTGTTGGAAGCGCCCAGGAAAATTTAAATTTTATTTTAAGAGAGAAAATAATATATATCCTCCCTTTTAAAAGCAAATTTAACTTTATCTTTTCCCAACTTATTAAAAAAAATTATTCTAGAATTTTTCCTGTAGTTCTGTGCAGAAAGGAGGTTTTAGGGAATTTCAAAACTACAGTTGAAAAAAATCAGGAGTTAGCATCTGGTTGAATGAGTTCTTTTGATCCCACGCCTCGCTTCATTCTTTTTAGCTCTTCACTCCAGCTTCGCTAATCGGTCTCGATTCCTTTTCTCATTCAATTTTTTCAGCTCTTCACTCCACCCTCGATAGCCGCTCTTGATGCACCCGTTTCTCCGGATCTTTTCATCAAGGTTCGTGTTAGTTAGCGATAAGTCATAAAAAGAACCGACTCATTTCAGCGAGCGAACTGTTCTAATCCAATCCCATAAAAGAGCAGTTTTGCTCGTTTCTAATATATACGTATATGTTTTGCACTTCAGTTAGATATTTATGCCGAAAATCAACCAATATAAATCTATTTATAAAAGAGTTTTTGTTTCTTTTGTTTTGGTGGTAATTTCATAGTGGCCGCTTTAAAAAGAGATTTAAAACACTAGTTCCGGCTAACAAGTTTGCGGTAAAATACTATATCTTGTAGAAATTGTGCCGCAATTTCTTCTGCTGCACACAAATCCTATAAAAGCATATTTCACAGTTGAATTTAAAATAAAAATAACACATTACATTATAAAATCCGCTGAAATTTAGAATATCCTAAAAATATCCACATAAAAATGATGACTTTACTTTGTTAGAACTAAACAGTTGTTATTCACGTGGGTTACCAGAGTTTGACACATTCTTTAAATTACTAAGGCTCTAGAACTAGTACGTAAATACCTAATTTTTAAAACCAATACACCATTTTTTAATAAAAATAAAATTTTAAAGTAAGTTAACAAGACCATTGCATTTATTAATTAATGTGATTACTTGTAAGCAGAAATAAATAATGTTTGTTGCTCAAAAAATAATGTTCGAACGCTATATGAATATTAAAGATATGAATGTTGTTCTGAACACTTCACCGAGCAGAATTTTATTCTTGTTTTCACCTTTCCCATCCGGATTATAGTTGTCAACTCATTTAATAGGAGTAAATTTGAAAGGAAAGTAAGACTAATATCCTTCAAAATAATATAAAACGCTTTTCAATCGAATGAAAATGCAATAATTTGAAAAGTAGAACTAGTTGTTTTTCTTTATTGTTAACCTGTATGCATTCCGTCAGAAACACAGTGAGTCGCGATTTGCGGGGCGAATTCAGTGGTTCCTGCGCCCTTCTTCCTAAAAAGACAAATTTATTTATTAAGGAGAAATGGGAAAATTACTATGACAAACCATCAGAGTAAAATAAAGCTGTCATAGCCATTACAAAAGAGAAAAAAAAACATGAAATGTATGTAGAATATATGAATGGAAAAATGTATGTATGAATGCCTGTATGTGCGTATGTACTACGTACCGTATGTATGTTATATGCATACACACACGCATACCTACGTATTTACATATATATATGCATGCATGCACACACACATATATATATATATATACATACATTTTTTAATTCGGTGTAGATAACTGAAAAGTACCAACATATTTCCATGTAACTGAAGAAAGTTTTCTTTTGTAATTAGAACCTTCTAGGTATTAAATGTAACAGGTTGGATGAATATTTCAGTCTAGCGGCTAACTAGGTAGTAATAGAACTTTGGTGAGGGAATTTATTTATTTTATTTAAACATTTAAGATATGGTATATCCTATTCAGTTTCTACCAGAAAGATGATTGTAACCGATGTGTCGACTTTGATAACAGTTGTCTTCTATAAGAGCTGAATTTCTCCTTTCTTTTTTCATGCGAAATTTCTCATTTCTTAGTCAGACAAGCAAAGTAGATAGATGACTAAAGATTATCAAAATATTTTCACTTTTCAAGACCGCCGCTAGAGCGCGCGCATTTCACTGCAAATGCGAATTATGTTTTCTGAGAGCATGGTAACCGCATACTGTTTGAAAGTATTATGTTACAATCACAGCGAAATATGAGTATGTTATGACAATATATAACTAAAGTGATCAAATAAAATGTCGAAAATATGTAAAGATTTTCATTAGTTTTGAATGTTTCTTTTTATCATAAAGATTGACAAATACTTCAACTTCTGCTTACGTTCACATGTTATCCTAAGTTTTGCTTTAACTTGTCTGCTTCAGGTAATCTCTAAACGTTTTGATAAATATTTGTTACGTGTGAAGTATTTCTTAGTACTGGAAATTTCTAAAATATTTCAGGTATATCTTTGTATAACTATGTCAAGTTACTGATATTATCGTTCCACCTGATGAGTGATAATTTTCGGTTACGCAGTATAGATTTTGCATGCGAAGCAAAGATAAGGTACCAAAAAATTGTGTGTAATATTAATTTTTGCATATATCTGGCAACATTATGTAAAGCATGAATTTTGATTTATTTCCATTAATCTTTAATCTGTTTTCCACTTGCATTTTTGTGATATATGTATTTACTTGATATCATAACTTAATGTCATCTTTTGAATCTCATATAAGGGATCATGTACTGCGAATTAAAAAAAAAAAAAAAAATGCTTAAATGATTCCTTTTACAAGAATTGAAAAATTTCACCATTCAGAATTTATTATTTTTTAAGGATAAACATTCTTTAATATCAAACATGAAATTACATTTCTGTAAAGCATCTGGTCTATTACTTTTGGTGAGCCCGGTGTGTGCTGTGTTTATTGTGTATGTAAATTTTATTTTTATTACTTCATATTTATTTTTTATTTTGATCGCTTGGACCTTTTTTGTAATTTACTGTATGCTAGGAACAAAATTCAGATCTCAATAGTAAATATGTGCAAAATACACAAGCACTGTAGCATGTCAATTAGTAAATTTTACTGTCGATAACTTAATTGATTCTGTTTTAAAGATTTTGTCTAGTAACATGTAGTCAGGCAATAAATAATATTTTTGGCTATCATTGAGAATTTAGATGTGTAGCTAGGAATGAAAATAAATGAAAACAGTCTGATTAATTATTAATGATGAATATTTGTTAATTTCCGTTAATTGGGTTTTCATCCGCAGAGAACCCGTATTTAATTAATACAGTGATGAATTTTAAATGTTGCTGACGAGTCATGTTGAATTAATCTACAACAATTGCTGAAAGCTATTAGTTAAAAATTAACAAAATTTATAACTGAACAAGAAAGTCAAGGTACTTTAGTTAATATTTGTTATTTTTCATTAGTGGATGATTGTTAGTAATCTATCAAAACCTTGCTTAACAGTATTAATTAATCCTTTAGTTAGTGTGTTATGTTTAGTTAAATCATGTTAATAGAATGTGTAGTAAGTAATAAGAATAGTTACAATGGTTTATTTGAATATAGTGAAACTCGTAAGAACTATCTGTTTTAATTCATGGATGACTTCCTTCCTGGAGGACTCTCTAAGGAAAACTGGCAAATGTTTATGTCATGCATGGTAAAATCTATGAAAACCAGTCATATGGCCAGCTTGTTCACCTGGATTTAACCCAGGTCAAATTACCAGTGTTCAGGAATCTCAACTTCTTGGCTGCTGGCAATCCAAATAATTATGGTATATCTATGCATGGAAACATTATGCATTATATCTAAACATTTGGATTGACCTTCTATTTTGTAAAACTAAAGGTGTTTGAATAGTATTTGACATTTTTCCATCTTCTTATGCAATAGATGATCACACTATAAAAATTTTTAATGGGATTTGAAGCTGAATAAATATAAATTTAGCTTTAGCTTTTTGCAGTTAAAGAATTTTTGTATATTGTGGATAAATAATAAAAATATCAGAAAAACAAATATTTATTCCTGTGTAAAAACACTTTATATACATGCACACATCTATGTATGTGTGTGTATCAAACAATTTAAGTTTACAAGAAAGCATTTTTGCTAATTGGCATGAAATAAAAAAGTAATCACAAGAAAAAGTTTTCATAATTCAAATTTTAACTCGCGAGTAATTTTATGAATGTTTTAATATTTTTTGTCATTTGTAGTATTAGTTTAAAAAAGTTTTCATTAGGAAGGACTTTATCAAGGCAGATATTGCATGACAAACAAAATGCCAATGTGTTATTTTCTTGCATATTGTTATACTGGGAAAGTGTGATTTCTTTTTCTTGTAGCTAATCTCACTTATTTGATCTAATCAGAACAAACCTACGAATTTTATCATACGAATTCTGTAAATGTCAAGAAGTGTAGGATTGCATCTGTCATTGGCATGAGGCTTGAGAGTATCATATAGGTAACTCTTGTACAGTTTTGCCCAGTTCTGCCCAAATTTTGAGGGAAGCCCAGGAAATAGATCCAAGAGACCTGGGCTCCTCGGTATTGTAGCCAGCATCACTAATCAATGTTCCATATGGACAGCATTAACTTGTTATAATAGTTATTAACATTTAAAATTTGAAAGCATTTTTATATGATATTGGCAAATCTTGTCATCAAAATTTTTATGGATTTTTAAATTAAACCTTAATATTTATGTTTTTTAACATTGATATAATCATGAATTTAAAAATGTATTCACTATTGTGGTAATCTTTTTATTTTGTGTTATAATACATGCATTGTGTGAAATATATTCTGAATAAACATATTTTAATGAAGATTTATTTTGTAGCAATTAGAAAGTGTGTGTTGTCTTCAGGTAATTTAATTGTTAATGACAGATTTTGATCTTTAACAACATGTTTTATGTTATTAATTGGACATTTATTTTGTAGGATCAACTATCAGAGCAGTATGATTGCAATCTTTTCATTATCAAATTTACAAAATCCTACTCTCTATTCTGGGAAAGCATCGCTAAGCACAAGTTGCATATTATCACCATATTCTGAGATTACTAAAAGACTGCTAATTGATTCCTCTGTGAATTGCCAGGTTCAGCATTTTGCATACAGTAAGTGTGTTAATTTTTAATTATATCTTATGTATTGTAAGTATAATTTTTAATGTTTTGTTTAAATGGACATCATGATTTCATTTGTGTCATTTATTATCATTTTAAGAAAACTTCCTCCTGAATATTAAATAGAATAGATCTGTTGGACCTGAAAATTGGAATCTGACTTAGCATCAGTTCCTGATCTTGACCCTCAAGATTGGCCTAAATTACATACTATTAATATTGGGAAAAAGCACTGTTTTTAAATAAAATACAGCAAAACAGGGATATCTCTGCTTTCCTGAAAATTGCTGTGTCATGTACCTCAGATGTCATATAATATTCAAGATGTTTTGTTTGAAAATTGGTTATAAAGTCAAATTTATAATTTCCTAAATATAGAGCTTACAAAACATTTCTTATTATATTTATTACGTAATTCTGATAAACAAAGTTTATCCTGTTTCATGAAATCTGTATTTGGCTCTCATTTTGGGAAACTTCCTTAGAAACAAGAAATGCTTATGAATGCATAAAACTGTATACTTTGTACTCATCAGTCTGCTGCCATCTCATCTCAGTCATGTCAGCATTTTCAACTGATTCTTGACTCTGAAATTTTTGTTCTTTTGCATTTTGACTGCTTTCAGACTGGATATTCTTCTCTCATTCTGAAATATGTTGGAAGGAAAAATATATGTGTACTGTTTAATATCTATTTTATTAATTATATTTGAACCAGGTGAGTTGTTAATATTTAGTTTGTCTCTTATCTGGTAATGACTGTTTGTCTATTTAGTCTGGTAGTGGCTGAAAGGTTTTTTTTTTTTTTTTTTTTTTTTTTTTTTTTTTATGAAAGCTTAGCAAAGATATGGATTCAATTTTGAATTTGATATATATATTTAAATATTAGATTTTTTAGCTAAAAGTTTCAGTCTATTTATGTTTTCATTTTTTTCCCTTTCTAATGTAATTTCATGATCTTCATTTATTAAATTTGAAACAAGTACTGTTTCTCATCATCTGTCCGTAAATGGTGGTGAATAAGATGCTGTTTTACTGCAATATTTTTTGCAGTTGGAGTAATTGATGTAAAACATTTCTTTAAGAAAAATGTATCATTTTGTGACAGCAGAATATGAAATTGAGTTTGTAAGGGTTTATCTTGTAATAAGTATTTTAATTATACTTTTTAATATCAGATTTTTTTATTTGTAGATTATATGTCTTTATGAAAAACTTGAAAACATTAAGAGCAATCCATATTTATTTTAATCTTATTTCTATTTTATTTCAATTTTATTTTATTTATTATTTGTGTTTCTATTTTATTTTAATGTTTGATTTTTTTTAAGCTCAGCATGGAAATATTTTATTGCTGAATTGTTATATTACAAAGTGAAAATTAAAATTATTTGTATTGAATGGTATGGGTTGAAGTTAAATTATAAAAACGAGCATTGGATTAACTAAATATTATTTAATGCAATCAAATAAATATTAGTGTGACAAGCTACACAAACATAGCACTGATACAAGATGGAAAAGCGCATGTTAGTTATGCCAATCGGAGAACACAAAATATACGTCAGATTTAAAAGAGGAGATCAATATCAACACTTCTTCTGATTTCACACTTTATAAGTATTTTAATTATACTTTTTAATATCAGATTTTTTTTATTTGTAGATTATATGTCTATGAAAAACTTGAAAACATTAAGAGCAATCCATATTTATTTTAATCTTATTTCTATTTTATTTCAATTTTATTTTATTTATTATTTGTGTTTCTATTTTATTTTAATGTTTGATTTTTTTTAAGCTCAGCATGGAACTATTTTATTGCTGAATTGTTCATAAATGCCCCATATTTTTCAAAAACCACATATACTAGCTTTTGTGAGACAGTCAACTATCATAATGTCAGTTGGCATTTTCTTAATTATAATTTTGCCCTTATAGCATGAGGAAGTGACATGATGAACAAGATTGATATGCTTAGTACGAGCATGAAACATGCTATTTTTATTAAGGTCAATAGTGCGTTTGTTGTGGCAGAAAAATTTTTAGTTTTTCTTTTGGCTGGCAAATTTAATTCAGCCATGAACTTGCAAAGCCACAGAGCTTCTTTAATTGCTGTGAATAAGGCTATATACTCTGCCTCAACTATAGAGTTAGCAGCAGAGGATTGCTTGTTATAGGTCTTTGCATCCCAAAGTGTGGGATCGGCTGTACGCTGTAATTTTAACCCTTCGCATTTGTACTGTATCGTCTACACTCGAACAAATATAGTTTTAAGTAAACTTCCTGTTTCTATTCAGGACTCCAGCCAAAGTCCACAAAGTTACCAACAAAAGATATTCTGTTTGGCATCAGTTGTACCATTATTGGCGACTTTATCGTTTGCGCCGGCAAAATGGAAAAGTACCAAAATTTATTATTGTTATTTCTTGCATTTAAAATTTTGTTAATTCATGGTATTTTTATAGTGCCGTGCCATATTAAAAAATAGATGTCGCCTTTCGTCTCATAACTTGGCAAAAAATCAGTTGCCAGTAATTGGCAGCTTTTCAGGTGGGGATGTGGATAATCAGAAAGCATCTCTCTCTGTCTCTCTCTTTTTAAATGGTATATTAATGTTTCTGATATCACATAAAAATTTTCACTTAATAAAATTTAATTAGATAAACACTCTAAGAATGTATGTAAGTAACTGATGCTTGTCTTTGTGCAGAGGTGTATGTAAATGTTTGCTAGTTTTTTAATATTTATCAATAATTAAAAATATTGAAAAAAAATTCAGTAACGGACTTTTCTTATTTTAATGCTTGAAATAAAATAGAAAAATAATGCAAAAAATTTTAATTACCATTTTTTACATAATTACTACTTCAGGTGTATTGAACAGATATGCTGGTAAGTAGAACTGTAACTTCTGTACACTGGAAAGTGGAAAAAGAACATATCAATTATATGACAGAATGCAAATTGTATAAAATGTGCATGAGTAAAAGATTGCTAAATATTAAATAATGATTTTAAAGTTTTTGATATAATTATAGGATTTTGTCTTTCACCAATGAATTTATTGTCCAATAAAAATTTTATTAAAAATTAATGGATACTTTTACATTAAAACCATAGCATGCAGTTTTGATGCTATCTTGGTGTATTTTGACTTCTTCCTTTTCCCATGTCTTTGGGTCAAATAGACAAAAAAGAACGATCAGGAACAACAATAATGAATATTCTGTAATTCATGATAACATCCACTAAAGAGGGAAGAACATGTCCTACATTATTTTTCTTTGTGAGCATTTTTTTGCCATCAATTCCTCCAATTTTCTTGCATCCATCAATGTTATGATGAGATAAGAAATAGACTTATTCATCTCTTATGTAATTATTCCATAAGTTAATGAGTTATATGGCAGTAATGAAAAGAGTGTATGATCCAGCAAACCACAAATGTGTAGCCATTTTGGTTTTGAGTCGTCCTTTTAATTTCATATATTCAAACGTAATCTTTCTTGGAAGAATACCTTAATTCTTGAAGAAAAGTGACAGCCACTTTATCTCTTGGCAAATCTGAAGTCATGGAATCTTGGTGGGGGGGGGGTTGCTGATTAGATAAAAAATGTGGTGGTTATGAAAGCAATTATTGTCTGGAAAAAGCCAGATCAAACTCACAATATCTTCTGTGGAGAAAATATGTCAAAACAAAGTGCCATATGTTATGATTTTTAATAGAAAAGTATCCATTAATGTTTAGTAAAATTTTCTTTTAAAATTTTTAATTATTTATTAGTGAATGATATATTTCTTTAGGTTATATACTTCATTTATATCTAGTTTATGATATGCATTTTAATTAGCTTTTTTCCTCTTTTATAGAGTCAAGTGCAAGAGAAGAGACATGGCAAAAAATAAAAGTTAATCCTCTGTTACGCTATTTCCGAACTTTAAAGTGGACACCTATACCACTGGGTGTAGGATTTGCATATATAGCATATCAACAGTTTAGGCATGTTAAAAAACGAGAGTCATCTAAAATTGCAACTGCCTCAGATCCATCAGATCTTTTAGCTTCCAATTTATATGTAAGTGACTTAGTCTTTCGTATTAATCTAATATTTTTGTCATTATTTGTTAATTCTACAATGTTTTGCTAGTAACATATAGTATATACAGTACAAAGTCTTTAATCCGGGCTCGTCGGGACTTTGGCGATTCCGGATTATAGATCATCAGTTTAAATCTGGTAAGATGGCATGCAGAAATTATAAAATTAAAAACATGAAACTGTAATTTATGAAATAAAGAGTAATTATGATCTAAAAGGTATCAAAATTTACAAAAAAAAAAAAAAAAAAAAAAAAAAAAAAAAAGCTTAATATTAATTTGTTTACTTTATTAAACATTTCTTTCAATGTAAGTTGTGTAAATTACTTTGTCTTAGTGCTAATACTTTCTCTTTAATTCTATAAACAGACATAATTTCTTGTTCATTTACAAAGTTCCGCTGTTCAAGTCCTGTAATTGCTGTGCCTTGAATACCGACTAACTTGTCAGTTAAAATTTTTTCATTTTCACTAACCTCTCTGTCACTTTCTTCATGCCTTTATCCTATTTTGCAGCAATTTCACTTTTTGCTTGATGGACATTGAAACATGCTTTTGCTTTGTAGATCCTTTGGCAGCTCCAGAATCAGAAACTCTTTTTGACATAATCGAAAGTTCAAGCTTACTTTTTATAAAATTGCTCTAACAGTCTGCAAAAAATAATAAGCCGGATCCAATTAGAAGATTAAGGAACAACGCAATCTGCAACATTCACTGAAATAGATAATTAGATAATTTTAGCCTAGCTTATACCGTCCGTTATACATTAAACGCATGCGCAGAAAGTTTGTAGCTTTGAGGTCCGGATTATAGATCATTCCAGATTATGGATGTCCGAATTAAAAACTTTGTACTGCATTTATAAATAATATACACTACTGCTCAATTTAAAATTATGAAAGCATATATTTCACTTTAATGATAGTTTTAAAAATTACATTCATATTAGATATATATATGTATATATATATATATTATATATATCAATTTTCTGTTGCAAAAACTTGTATACATTACTCAGTGTTATTCTGTACCGGTCCTGTCTGAAACTGAATAAAAATTATTTAAAGAGAGGTGATATTATGTATCATTTTTGTTAAGTAATTATAGAAGAAAGAGATCAGAGGAGAAATAATGATGGAATAGTTCAGAGGAAATAATGATAATTTGTGGAAAAAGTGAATGCCAAAATAATTGAAAATAAAATGCTAACTTAACTATTTCTACCTTTTATTTCGGCGAGAATGAGAGGTTGTAATCAATAATAAAAAATTTTTCTTGGTATAAATATAAAAATATGATTTTAGATATTTTTTTGCATTTTCAAAAATTAATCTAGCCGTCGTACAAATTGTCATAGCTATTAGAAATTATGAGCATTCTTGCCACTGAGTTACAGGGCTTAAATATTTAAAGGCTTACTGTGTTTGTTTTGTTGATGGCTTCACAAAAACTCTTGGTGGTTATTGATAGTTTTTTTTTTTTTTTTGTTTTTGTTTTGTTGTTGTTGTTGAAACTTTTTGTTTATTGAGATTGGAATTTCTGAATCAATAATCAGTTTATTTCTAAAATTCTACTATACCTTTTAGAAATTTTTGAGAATATTAAGAACTCAACATTTTAAGGAGAAAAGTGTGTTTCAGGAAAAAAATTGTTTGGAGGGGAAGTAGGAAAGAAAAATCATATAGAAGGAAAATTGAATACATTGTTTCATATATTTTTTCATCTTTTTAAACTTAATTATAAATGAATAGTGTTTGTTTTATATACTGACATTTTTTATTTATATATCTTTTCGGTACACATAGTTCGGTCAAAAAATCTAAAAATAAAGCATTTAATTTTTTTTTTGAAATTTTGCATTATAATTAGTTACACAGAGTAGTATGTTTTTATTGCAAATTATCATCTTACTTTAAATAAATTAGTTTATAATTTATTTGATGTTTATATGATTTTTAACCAAATAAAAATTTTGAGAGATCTTTCTCCGCATTTTTCTGACAATGAATTTTTTTGGAAATGGGTCGTAGGCAGCAAAAAGACAATCTTATTGACTGGAATGGCAACAGTGAAAGGAATATATTTTTTGATTCTGGTAGTAGTTAAGATAATCTATTAGCAATCCGTTTTTTTAACATATGATAGTTACAATAAGAAAATTAAAGATCTGCATTCAATTAATATAAAATAAAAAACTATATGTAATTTATTTCCCTTGCACATTTTTCTCATAACGCTTCTGTACATATACTATTGTGTTTGAGTAAATAGTATTTACTATTTCATTGTGTTCAAAGTATTATACATATTGCATTTATAAGGAATCTTATATTAACTAGAGGCATAGTTATGGAATAGTACCAAATCTATATATATTCTCACCAGTGTAACTAACTGGAATTTTTTTTTAAATCTATAACTTTGTATTTTAATAATATAGTTTTTGAGCAAAATGTATTTTAACTCCAGTGTAAATTCTTATTAATTAAATTGTTTTAGTCCATTTTTCTGTTTTGTTCCCATTTTTGAATATTGTTTCTCTTTATCTTGATATATATAATAAACAAGGTTTTTCTTTTAGCGCTGACTTCTTTAGCTTCCAGCCTCTTCTTTTTTTTTTTTTTTTCTTCTTCTTTGTGTGTGTATGTATAATATACATATATTATATTTTTATTTCAGGTTTCATTGTATACCATGTTACCTCTTCGAGCTGCATCAAGGTTTTGGGGTTGGGTACATAACATTGATCTTCCTCAACCTATCCGTAAACCTGTTCTTAATTTATTTATCTCAACATATGGTTGTGATCTTAAAGAAGCTTCTGTAGATGATCTGATGTATTATAAAAACCTTAGAGAGTTTTTTGGCAGGACATTGAAGAGAGAGGTTAGGCCCATTCATCCAGGAAATTGTTTGGTATGTAGTTAATTTGTACTTTTTATTTAAAAGAGCAACTCTTAAAAAGTTTAAATAAATTTCTTAAAATCAAACAAATAAATAAAATTTCCAGTGCATTTAAAGCAAGGGTGAGCAAATACTTTGAAATATGGTTTAAAAAAGTCTTTTAAATGCCTCCTGCTGGCAGAATGTAATGATCTTTTGTGGTACTTCTGTTGTTGATATTATGAAATGGCATTGGAAAAGGGGAGCAAAAAAGGTGGTTCCTGGTAGAAATTTTTTAAATGATTACAAATATGTCAAAAAGGGGGATCTGTTCCTATAGGTCATCAAATGGTTGACATACTATGTACTGTTTCATTTTGAAATAGGAACTTAAGGTGAAATGTTCTTTCACTAAGCTCCCTTTTCTGATCAGTATTATTATCTCAACCGTATTCTTATCTCATTTTTTAATTTCTAAATTAAAGCTCTGAGAAATGATAGGTATAGTTTAGTTGTCAACTATGACATCTGTCGATTCCTGAAAAATGCTTGGATGTTTTTAAGTATCAGGTAACCAAGACAGTTTCCGTGATTTTTGAGAACAGTTACTTTTGGTGCATTAGTGAGGTCAAATTAATTCTGATGACATTATTTGCTTATACTTCTTTCAAACTTTATTCAGCAGAGAACTGTTTAGTGCATTGCATGTATAGCTATTGGTTTTGTAGGAAGTGCAATCTTCAAAGAACATGCCATTGGAAAGGAGAGTTTAAGGCCTATTTTTTGCTTTATGAGTGCAAATTAGGAAACAGCTGCAGAATCCGTTAAAAGAATATACTTCGTGCGTGGAACAACATCAGTGAGTGAATAGACTGCTCCAAAGTGGTTCAGCCAATTTTCTTCTGGAGACAAGAACCTTGAAGACAAGCCTCATCTAGGTCGTCCTATCCACCCCTGAAAATGTCCATCTGGAGGAAGAAATTAAGCAGAATCCACATCAAACCTGTAAGGAGCTTGCACACAGATTTGAAGTATCTGATGAAACCATTCAATCACATCTTCATAACCTTGGGATGACATGGAAACTAAGCACGTGGATTGTTCATGTTCTATCCAAGGAGAACAAGCTCCAGTAGTTGAACATTAGCTTGTCTTTGCTGTTGTGCCATAATAAACCCTCGTTCCTGGACCAAATCTTCATGTGTGACAAAAAATGGGTCACCTATGATAATCAGAAGAGGAGGCATTGTTGGTCAACTTCTAGTTCAATGCCATTGACTGCTAACCAGATAGCCATTAAAAAAGGTAATGCTATGTTTTTGGTGGACCAGTGCTGTCATATTCTACTATGAATATTTAGAAAGCAGAAAAACCATAACAGTCAATGTCTGCTCATCACAGATGCACGGTTTCAACCAGCACTGGTCAACAGAAACAGAGTCTTTGTTCTTCATGATAATGTCAGACCTCATACGACAAAAGTGACATCAAAGAGGTGATGAAAACACTGGTCTGGGAAGTTCTGCCTCCATCACCCTATTCTCCAGACACTGTCCAATCTGAATACTGCCTAGTTTTGGCTATGGATAACCACTTGCAGGAACTGCAGTTCCGAAAACATGATGAAATTTTTTTTTTATTCTCCAGAAAAAAGGATTTTTTCAGAAAATTTATAAGCTTGTATCTTGTTGGGAATAGGCAACTGAAGCCAATGGTGATTATTTCTAAGAATAAAATGGATATTTAAGATTTTTGTGTGCCCTTTTTGATGTGTGATGGAAACCACTCAAACTTTCTTGGTTACCTGATATGTATTGCCTTTATATGTAAAATATATAAATGGAGGGATATCTAAAATAATCAAGTCTCTTTGATAAATTAGTGATATGGGAAGAGGGCTAAGAGGCTCTTTGATAACCCTAGGATGTTCACCAAAAGTTGGATCCATCATGGATTTGGTCTGGATTGTATAGATTAGCAATATTAGCAGTTCACAGTAAATGTGCTACAGAATAATCAGTATCAATTTTAAAATCCTCCAACTTGAGGGTTTTTTTTTTTAAATTAAAAAATGAAAGTATTACTTTAAAGATTAAAAGTTATTGTATCTTATAACTGTTAAAAGTTATAATAAAAACTTGCATTTTAAAAAGAATGAAAAACTGAATTGGGTTTACCCCATTAAATTTTTATTACATCAGTCATATTTTTTCTTAATTTCATAAAAAAAGGATAGTGTTTTTTCATTAAGGCCATACCATGCTTTTGCCTTATATCCACAATATTCCTTCATTTCTGTGAATGAATATGAGAACAGCAATAAGGAAATGTTCTTAAGTTTCAGGACAGAATGCTTAAAACCCCATTGTATGGAAGAACAGGGCATAATTAAAAAAAAAAAAAAAGAATTTCTTAAAGGACAATAAGCTTTTGTAATTTCTTCAATTTTCTGTCCACTGATTTTAATGTTAGGATGTGATAATGAGGAATTGGCACATATCTCTCTTATGCAAATATTCCAATCCTCCTGTATATAAATATTCAGTATCCAAGTTGCATTGTGATTCATTTGATGCCATATTATTTAATCTTCGACATCATAAGTAAATGAATAATATGGCAGTAATGAAAGTAGTACAAAACAGCAAACTGTGTTTGTGTGTAGATATTTCCCCCCTTCCTTGCTGCATAAATGAAGGCTGCATAGCCATTTCAATTGGAGTCTCATTTTAATTTCAAGCAGTGATTATTCAAATACAATATTTCTTTGTGAAAAATAAATGTTTCATGAAGTAACAGATAACTGCTTATTTATTTCTTGTCAAAACCAAAATCAGGAAGTTCATTGCAATAGAATACAAAGAAAAACTATAATTAGATTTAAAAAAAAAGAGGCTGTGTTGAGCAATGGTTATAAAGAAACCTATTGCTAGAAAAGAAGAAAACCAAACTGGTGCTGAGGAAAATATGGCAGTACAAAGCAAAAAAGTGCCAATTAATTTGGCTTTAAAAAAATACCGAAAAGATTATCGAAATATTCGCCTGAACAGCAAAATTTACATATTTATCGCTGAGACTTCAGGTATTGAGCTTTGTTATAGGTTTTCTACTAGCAGCAAACTCAGTTACTAAACTGCCTGTTGGGCATCGTTTTTGATTAGCTGACTTTTTTTTTTTTTTTTTTTTTTTTTTTTTTTTTTTGCGAAATATACTTGTAATTTACCTATTTGAGTCATTACAATTAGTGAGATTTACTTACATATTACAGTTAGTGATAGAACTTCTTGAACTTGTCATGTAAAGTTCTTAAGTTTTTCTGAAAAAAAATCTGAATTCAGGAAATAGATCTTTAGCAACATGTTATAAACTTTGTTTTTTAGGTTTCTTGGAGAATTAGGTCTCTATACTTTTATTTGTTTTCCTGTGCTGGGCAGAAGTCTTCTGTGCATCAGATTCAGCTTTATATGTTTAAATACAAAATTATTAATTTCCTAATTTTTGGACCCATAAATATAGCCTTTTCAATTATGGTTTTACTATTTTAAGGATTTTGTTTGGAAGAAAGGGAAATTTCTGAGTTTTTTTTAAAATTTTTTTAAAGAAATTTTGTCAGAAGCTATCGGTATTATATTGACTCAGAAATTATGTTTTTAATTTTTCAATGCACCTATTTTATATTAGGATTTTCATGTGTTGTTTCTGCTGATTTGAAAGTCACTATTAGAACCAACGGAAGGTTGAATATCCTAGTTTTAGTCCAAGTTGTAGAGCTATTGCTTTTAGATTTCCGCTGACATGTCTATCTTGAACATTCGTTTTTTCAAGTAAACATAAGCAGATGGCTCTGTCAGTGCTATCTGTATGTATTCTAACATTATCTGGTCATATTCATCTTTTTTTAGAGGGGAGGGGGTTTCCATCTGCTGTTTGGGGGCTTATGTTCATCTGCTTTTCTTTCTTTTTTTTTTCTTTTTTAAAGAAAAAATTGCTTTATTTATGTGCAGTCCTCATGTTTTTTGACTGTGTTAGTGCTTCATGTTTTTATAAGCGAAGCGTTTATGATACTGTAATAAGAATTAACTCTTAATACTTCTCACAAAACATGCAGACTTTCATGCTTACATAGAATAGATTTCATTCTGTTAATCTTGATGTCATTATTATTAATATTATTATTATTATTATTTTTGTTAGATTATGGTAGTGTTAAGATAATTTAAACCAGAATGACCTAAAAAATTGTCAAGATGAAGCGAGACTAACCACTGACATTTTGTATTTCTGTAATTTTTTGTAGTTATTTCCTGTTGGCAAGATTAATATATTTATTAGCAACCAATTAGGTATTTTCATGAAATTTTGTATTGTATATGGCCAATATATATATATATATATATACATGTCATGGTTATGTGATATTGTAATTTGATATAAACAGATATTATTAGTGCAGTTCTTCAGCAGTACTGATGAGAGGGGGTTTTAGTACTATGTGATTTCGCTCTCTTTTCATTTTAAATCAAATTGCTGTTAAATGAAACACATTTTTCATGATGTAAAATGCTATTAATACTTTAATATACTTCACTGTTACATTCGTTAGTTATATGTATTTATAGTTATTTACTTTTGATATTATTTATCAGGTTAGTCCAGCAGATGGACAAATACTTCATTTTGGAGTTATTGAAAATGGTCTCATAGAGCAAGTCAAAGGTATTACATATTCCTTGAAGTCATTTTTGGGACTCCAGCCATCGGAATCTGATGAAGAAGTGAAGGTTTGTAATTCCAATCAGCTGTGTTTGAGAATTTTATTTTATCAATTTTCATACTAATTTATTGTCAGTAATTGTAGTAGCAGCATTGTTGGTAGTAGCAATTGTTAATGAATGAGAAAATTAGTTGCTTATTAGAACATAGCATATTTTTCTTTTATTCCTCTGCTATGCAGTTTGCATTTTCAGTTGTATACAAACACATGCATATGTTTGCTTAACACATTGACTGCTGTGGGGGTCACCAGTGGCCAGAACTCAACTTGCACGACCACTGGTAACCGCAGATGTGACCAATAGTAAAAGTACATAATTAGAGTAAATATTAATACTGATAAATTTTTAAGTATCATTGTTACTATAATGGTATGAAGAAATTAATGGCCCCTAGAACTTGCCATGGGGGGCATCACGAGCTGGCGACACAACCAATAGTAAAAATGCATAATTAGAGTAAATATCGATATTCATAAATTTTTAAATAATACCATTTTTACTATAATGGTTTGAAAAAAATTAATGCCATACAGAATATGTAAAAATAATTTTATTAGTACAACGAAAATATGCATATTTTGTTTTCCACACTATGATGAGTTACGTGAAGCATAGACAAAGAAAAGGTGAACCAAAACAGTTGGTGTAATATGTCACCACTTTTTTAGTGCAATTCTTTGCTATTATTCTCCCTAGCTATTTTGAATTTATTTCATTACAGACTTTGCAAAATCGTCATACATTTTGCACACTCCCCCCTTTTTTTAAAAAATTCCTGACGAGCTTTATTTCCATCCATAATTGTTTGATGAAATGAAGTCTTCATCATCAGAACATTTCACTAAAAAGATTGCTAACTTCATCCTAAAATCAGGAATTGAAATATTTTTTCGAGTTAATTGTTTGTATAACACAACTGAATTTGCAACACAAGTATTCAGTAAATGGTCTGTTGACAATTTCCTGTACCTCTTTATAGTTTTTATCAATGGTGAACAGCAGTCATTTGATCAGTCAAATTCAACTGAAGATTTTCCTAAATTATAATCTACTACCATTTTTGTCTTCTCATATAAACAAAATCTTCTTTGTACACTTGTCATTTCTGCAGAATGTTTTGTAAATAACATTAATACATCTCTTTTATCCTTCCATATTAAGACTGTTATGCAATTTTTATTTTCTTGCACGATAAGACCTCCACCTTTTGAATTTTTGGGACACCTTTTCTTTTGGATTGCTTCACCGTTTTTTCCGCAGCATGCCCTCTAAATGCATGTGCATTGTAATGAATTTTTCAGCAAGGTCTACACTTGTGTAATAATTATCTCTGCAGGTAGTATATCCAAAATATCTTTACTAAGAGATAATATAATTTCAGATATTTTGTTTTCAGATATTTGAATTGTATTTTTGTCTTTACCCATGTAGACTTGAAATGAATGAGTTAGTCACTACAATTTAAAAATTTTGATTCCATATCTATGAGGTTTTTGTTTTATATATTGGTGAAATACTATGAGGCCTCGAAATGACATTAATGACTCATCCACGCACAATGTTTCATGTGGATTATAATATTTTTACTTCCTTGTATGAAGTAAACGGGAAGTGTTGTAATCGCGAAAAGTTTCAGTCAGCATATTTCAATGAAAATATCCTTTTTGATCGCTATCAAATGCAGTTTAATGATGTTGTTTGCATGACATACTATGTACGTAAGGGCAGAATAAAAGACTCTTTTCCTCCAAAAAAATTATAAAACAACTTTAATATGAATTTAAGGGAATTTTTCATGGCGCCTGTATGTATGTATCTGGCATAACTCCAAAACGAGTAGCCTCAGAATGTTGAAATTTTGTATACAGGACTGCTATAACATGTAGATGTGTACCTTGTATTTTGGTTGCAATCGACGCACCAAAAGTATATAAATATATGTGTATATATATATATCAACTCTGTTACCCGGCTTAGTGATTATGATCTCAGTTTCTTTAATCTTACATGTTTGTAAATTGTGCATTTTTTGTTTTAAAAATGATTGAATTATGTTTTCCTTATCTTCCGGTTAAAGTTTTTATGCCTTTAGTAAATCTACATGCAATATTTTTAGAGCTATCAAGAATTTAAAAGTTGTTTAAGTGCGAGTAAGCCTAATCATTTCTGCAATGGCAGACATGTTTGTTTACATTTCAAGTTTGAGAAAATAGCGGATTTGTTGCCAAGCTAGAGAAACTAAGCTTTGCAACAACAAAGATAACGCCTTCTTTTATTATTGCGAATTAAATCATACTTAATCCATTCTGGAATTTATTCAAGGAAATAAGTGTTTAAGATTTACTTTGCAATTTTTTAATATAGATATTTTGACTTTTCATGCATTTTTGCCTATTTGCGAAAGGAGAACTGAATTAATTGAATGAAAAATACTGAATCGTCTGTGAAGAACTGTTTCTTTTTTGTTTTGTTTGCTTAATTGTTTTATACATCATTTTAGATTTATTATAGTGTTTGAATAGAACATGTGGCAATGATTAGATAATTCTTCAAATGATATAAATTTTGTGCGTTCTGAGTTATAATACGAGCGAAATATAATGCTGTTAAGTGAACCTAGCTCCAGAGTAACAAATATAGTGACAAATATAGTGAATTTTAAAGAAATATAATAAACAAATATAGTGAATTTTAAAGAGTGCATTTATTCTATTGTGGTTTATGCTACGATACTATCTGCATCAGACAGTGCCCAACTAACTTTAAAAACTTGCCAACCGTGCCTACACCAGGCTTTCGAGGTTTGTTCTGAACAGCAGGTTTCTCCCTAGGCAACCAGCAGCGGTGACAACAGCCAGTCTTTTGTTATGAATCATGCTGATTATGATTTTACTTCTCATTTTAACCTATTCTGCCTGACATAAATTCTACCTGCTATTTACTCAACCTCTAGACTAAGCAATTATGTGACAAAAATAAAATAAAATAAACATAAACATAAAGCTAACTGTTAGTAAAACATAAATACAATGTCACTTATCTTCTTTCAAAATATGTCCAATTATTTTAAGTGTAAAATATTTAATGCTACTTGATAAATTTCATAAAGTTTATTTTATTCTCAAACTTTTTAATAATTATGTTAATTAAGTTATGTTTAATAATAATGCATCCTACATATGGATCTGTTTTATTTTTAGGATGGTATTACAAAAGTGAAATTCGGGCATTGATGATATTTTTAATTCAATTTATTCAGTTCCCCATTTGCTCATAGGTCTTTAATTTTTTCATTATAGGTCCTTAAAAATCCTTAAACGTACTTAATTTTCGTGTACAGAAATGTGTATGAACCCTGTAATTCTTTTTCATAGTCTCATAATAAAACGAAATAGCAGCTTATTTTGTATATTGCAGTATATCATCTTAATATATGCTGGTTTTGTGGCTGATTGATAAGAGAAATCTTAAGTTGACTGCTTTAATGTAATTTATTTAACATAATAACTGCAAATTAGAGTTAGCAATTGATATGTTAATCTGTTCAAAAGCTGCATTTATTATTATTATTTTTTGAATGGGACTGTGATAATTAATAACCAAAATTCACTCAAACTACATATTGTTATATATATTTGCAATTTTAGGCACCTATTTAGTAGGCGTTAGTTTTATTCTGGTTTTAAGAGGTAGGTTTCCATAATGATTAGTTTAACTTGAGATTTGAATTTTTTACTGCTCATTCTCTGACACTTCTTTCTGAGAGGCCCACTAGTGGCCAAGTGGTAAAGTCGTTGAACACTGGTAAAGCCGGCTGGCTGCATGGATGTTTTCATGGTTTCCCCCTTGTGTAACATGTATACAAGCCAGTTTCCATTTATTAATAGAAGTTGGTCCCCCCTTTTGCATTGATGACAGCCTGCAGATGTCTGGGGACTCTTTCCACCAGTTTTTCATAGGTGCCCATAGGAATTGACTTCCAGGTGTCCATCTCAGCAGAAATGAGTGCTGGCAGTTAGAATGGTCGATTTGGCTGGCTATGTAATCTGCATTCTAATACATCCCAAAGGTGTTCCACAGAATTAAATCGGGGCCAGTCCAGTTTTAGAACACCTATTTAATCAAACCATGCCTGTGCAAATTTTGATGTGTGAATGGAGCAGTTATCCTGCTGGAAGAGAAATGGGCCTTCCCTGTCTAATCATAGGAACTAAGGGACCCAGGTCAAATTATGAAAATCACCCCCACATCATGATGCTGCCACCGCTAAACTTTACAGTTGCCATAATGCAATCACTTAAGAAGTGCTTAAGAAGGATGAAAGTGTATGAAGGGCATCCGTCAAGCACAGATGTGTGCATCAGACTGCCATATTGTAAAGTGAGATTCATAACTCCAAAGAACATTTTTTTATCACTAAGTATGATTTCTCTTTTAATCCATTCGGCTTATTTTGGATTTTGTTAAGTAGTATGTGATTTAGAATTTTGTAAATGGAGCAAGGAATGGTATTTGTAAATAAATAATTTTACATCACAAGGAAGTAAACCTGTCTGAAAAAAGTACTGTTGCACAGAATGGTTTGAATATTGGGAGTAGAAATAAGCCTCCGCTATTTGACAAAAAAAAAAAAAAAAAAAAAAAAAAGGTGCCACTATTAAGTTATGGTTAAAATTGTCTGATGTGAAACATCATATGTCATAAGGTTAGACTTCTGCTAACAACCATAACCTTGAGATATTACTGATTTTTATATCAGCGTCATATATTTTTTCGTTCTTTGAGCCGAAAGAGTGTCATTTGCAGGAACTTTTTATTTACTTTAATTTGAAGAAACCTGCAGTTGAGGTACATCGATTACTTGTAGAAGCATATGGTGAGGCTGCCTTAAGTGAGATAAGTTGTCGTGAGTGGTTTCAAAAGTTTAAGAATGGTGAATTTGACATCGCAGACAAAGAATAGAGTGGAAGGAGGAAAGTGTATGAAGACATGGATTTGGAAGCAATATTTGATGAATAATTCATAATGCAAATAGAACTTACACTAGGAGGGACTCAACAAGCAATTTCACATTTTTTTAAAATCTTGGAAATAATTCAAAAGCAAAGAAATTGGGTTGCATTTGAACTCAGGCTGAGAAAAATTGAACGCTGCATTTTATATGTGAAATGCTGTTTGCCGGACATAAATGAAAGGATTTTTTGCATCGTATAGTTACTGGTGATGAAAAAAGGGTCCACTATGATAACTGAAAAAGGAAAAATCATTGGGACCACCTGGCCATGCTTCAACGTCAGCAGCCAAGCCAAATATTCATGAAAAAATGTCATGTTGTGTATATGGTGGGATCAACTTGGTGTCACACGTTATGAGTTGCTCAGACCGAACAAAACCGTTCCTGGGACTCTCTACTGAACATAATTGTTGAGATTGAGCCTAGCAGTCAAAAAAGAATGCTCCCACTATTACTTCAGACATGGCAAAATTAATCTCCTATATTATAACTCTGATCCACAGGCGGCGGCGATCAAAACCTTCTCAGAAACACTGAAATGAGAAATTCTTCCCCCTGTGCACTCGCCAAACATTGCTCCTTCTAATTACTACTTGTTTTATTTGAGGATCTATGGTCTGTCTGAGAAGTTCTTTACATCATATGAATATACCAAAAGTTGGGTTGATTTGTGGATTGTCTTGAAAAAATGAGGCTTTCTTTCTGCACGGTATCGATATGCTGCCAGAAGATGGGAAAAGGTAAAGGCTAGTGATGGACACTACTTTAAATAAAACATAATATACAGTTCTTTCATAATAAATACCCAATTTTTGATAAAAAAGGACAAAGACTTATTTGTACTCCTGATAGAATATTATTATCTTAAAAACTTTCTTCTTATTTAAGAATAAGATTTTCAGCAAAGTGTATCATTCTGTCAAATGATGAATGAGCATAGTGAGTTTTTTTGTTTTTGATTTAAATACTAAACCTTTGTAATTAGTTTCATGGTTTTAATCACATAATAATCAGCAATAATTTAAATTAGAATAAATAATTTTGTCAATATTGTAATGATGTATTCAGTGGTAAGCTATGAATATTTTAGCGAAGAGCTTACACTTTATATTAAAAAAAATCAAATTTGAATTAATCTCTCTTTTTACAAAAACAGAAAATACAAATAATTATGTATGAACAGAAAAAATTAAAAAGTCTAAAATAAATAAATAAATAAATAGAAATAAAAAAATAGCATAAAAGTAGCATAAAATAAAAAGTAAATTTAACTATACAGCACATTTTATGTTAGAAGCTGCCACAGTTTTTTTTTTCTTTCATATCAGTTGATCTTCTAAAGGCTAAGAAATGTTTTTACATAATGTTTAGAGTTAAATTGTCTTAAAGTTTTCTCATTTAAGGAGATTGCCATTCAGTCTGAAAGATGTTTTACAGTCAAACAAGATCGTGTGGCAATATTGCTCTTCGAGTTGAAAGCTCATTCAGCTTCATCGCTACTGATAGGGATCGTTTCCTTAATAACTTCCTTTTTTAAATTTTAAATATTTTGTTATGCAATTTTCCTCTTAAAAACATCTCAATGAAATATGAAAAATATTGTATTTTTATTTCATTCTTTAATATGAAATGACTGACACGAAGACTCGTTTTTCTTGAAATAAATTAATGAGCAAACAAAAAGAACAAGGAGCTCACAGATTAGAGACAAAGGGCTTGTTTGAGCCCTCTATAGCTTACCACTTTATATATTATGTAAATAATTTTTTTATTGTTTAAAGTTATTGTTCTCCTATAGGTAACTGATGAGCAGTGTCATAAGGCCTTAGTATCACATCACAAGAATGCATTATATCATTGTGTGATATATTTAGCTCCTGGTGATTATCATAAATTTCATTCACCTGCAGAATGGACTGTAGAACATAGAAAGCATTTTCATGGTAATTTTTTCTGTTTAATCTTAATTGTTAAGCTTTATGTTTCATATTTAGTGAAACATAAAATATTTTCTTATCCTTGGATTATTATATTACTTTGAGCTCTGTGTTGAAATAATTTAATCATAGCTGCTATTTGAATAAATCTCAGAAAATGTAAATATTTCTATTATCTGATATTTTTAACAAATAAATAATCAATAACAACAAGATTTTTTTTAAACATTTTAATGAATTTTGTTTTTAGGTGAACTGCTGAGTGTTCGTCCTGGAATCGTGAATTGGATTGCTGGTCTTTTTAATATAAATGAAAGAGTTGTGTACACTGGACATTGGAAACATGGATTTTTTTCCTTAACTGCTGTGGGAGCTACAAATGTTGGCTCTATCAAAGTATTTTTTGATGATGTAAGAACAATTTTTTATTTCCATGTTTCTTAAATTGTATTACATGTTAGTTCTTAATAGTATATATTTTATGTAATAATCTTTAGTATTTAAAGGACTCACATTTATCAGAAAATCTAATAAAGTAAAAGTGAGTACTTCACGCGAGATGGTGGGTTCAGCCACCAGAATGCACATATATGGGCTGGTGTATTGTAGTATGTACTAGTATATACTACAGTTTCTACTACATACACATATTTTACAATAATATCTCTACAGTGCACTCTGTATACTGTAGCATATTCTACGTGATCATCGGGATTATGCATGCAGTGTAAATATGTAGGCACAAAGTAGAATATTTGACAGAAAGTACTGTTTTGATTGCAATGTTGGTATTTCATTATTTGCCAAAAGATGCTACAGGTATAAGAACCTTTACCTTGGAAGGCAATGGATATAACAGAATCTAACAACTAAAGTGGACATTTGCTGTTGAAAAATAAATTCAGCTCATTATTATAAAAAATAGATATTTTGCTTATATATGTGATTCAAGCCATATAATTCTATTAATACTCAAGAGAATTAGTGTTTCTACAATTTTCCAAGGGCTTAATGTAACTTCTGATTACTTTTCTAATACTTTTTGAAAAATTTGCAGACGTTTGTTGGCATATCTCAAGATTCTCATGATTAACACAGTCTTTGCTGCCATATTGTATTAAATACGGATTTTCTGTTAGCACAAAATGTTAACAGTAGTGATTATGTGGATGATTTAATCATTACAGAAATTAGCATTCAAGGCTTTGTTATGTAGATAAGAGCTTAGTTCACATTGTTATAATGTATTGTTAAACATAGATTAATTAATATAGCTTATGGAACGTGTTTCTGTTTAATAAATTTTTAGAGCCATATTTAAATAATTCAGTGTCAAAAGTCTGAATCTAATATTTTAAACTAGACTCATAAGATAACTAAAGACTTTTTTTATCCAGTATTTTTATGGAATCTAAATATTATCACTAAAAAATGTGCTCTATTCAGATAATCAATTGGTTTTCAACCTTTGCTTCATGTCCTCCTTTTACCATTGCTAGCAGATCATCCCCACCTCCTTTCTCAAATTAGAAAATACACATGTATTTATTTATATTTAGTTTATATTTTAACCCTTTGCACTCGAGCGATGCTACTAATGCACCTAAGAGATTTGAAGCATTTACTCAAGCAGTGCTGCTGTGGTGCACAGGAGGTTTAAAGCATCCACTTGAGTGGCGTCGCAATGGCGCCTGGGAGGTTTGGAGCGGCCAATTGATATGCGATAAGATATTCTTATCTGAAGTACTTTCGTGGACCAGTCTCGGCTTGCATTCTCAGCCAAATCTTAGTTTACCAATCTTAGTTTAATCTCAGCATAGCATTCACTTGAAACAATCTTGGCAGTGAGTATTGCAGTTCAAAAGTTCTCATGCTCTAAAAATATGGATCAAGATAAAATCAGCTCAAGTTCAGGCGAATTCGAGTTTTCAACAACTGAATGAAAAAATTTCATCGGATTACACTACAAAACAACCAATTACAGTAGAGAAAATAGTGACAAAGTAAGAGGTGCGAGACGATGGAAAATTATAGATAGCGAAAATAAAGCTGAAATTGAAACTGCGGAAGATGCATGCAGTTCAGAATGGGTACTTTGCAGGGAATGCGAAGAAGTGCCACCAAGGGGCAAAACCCCACAGTATCAGGCTCATCAATATCAGCTTTCCTAATCTAGTCGAAATCGTCTCAAGTTGCTGGTTCGCCTGAGCGAAAAATACTTTAAATGCAAAGGTTTAATGGGTTTTATAAATTAAACAACAAAAAGTATAGAAAATGTTGATAAATACTAAAACCTGAATAAAAGTTGTTTTTATATTCATAAACTCAAACTGTACACTTAATATCTAAATAAAAGGCTAATTGCACCCCCCTGAAACTATTAAATTTCCTCTTGGTTGAGAAACTCTGAGGTAGTCACTATTTCAAAATTTAAATTGTTGTTTTTGTTGTTGTCGTGTCCATATTACATGGAACAATGGTTGCCAGTTGGACTTCTATTTTCCACCCCCAATGGTTGGACTTCTATTTTCCACCCCCAATTTTGAGGGAAAGCACCCCGGGGTGAAGGATTTGGGGTTCTCCCAACCCTCTCCACTCCCACTAATCCACATGAGAGGACTTTCGGCTCGCCGTGTATTTAGAGTGCCGCCATGCCACACCGAGACTATACATTTACAAACATCCATGTCTTCTCCGGGATTCCAACCCAGGCCTTTCGGTGTCGTAGTAGGCGCCCCTAACCACTATATCGTCTGGGCGACTTGAATTAGAAAAGAGTATTTACTTATCAAATTAACCTTTTAGTGTTTAAAGTAAATTTTTCCATTTCAAATCTAGTAACAGGAAGTTAAGTAATACCATATCTTTTCAGAATGGCAATTATGTCTTCATTTCGTGATCACATTATTTTGGATCTAATTTTGCATTAGTTTTAACTTAGTTAAGTTTTTCATTTTAGGCAATTTTATAATAAGGTGATCAAAGCTGTTTAACATTTTAGTTTTATTGCCATGTAGGTTGTTTAATTTTGCTTTTAATCACCAGTAACCAAATGCATTGATTACATAATTGATCTTTCCATTTATTCTTTGTGTAAAATACAAGTATCCTTTAGAGAAACTCTTTTAATAGAAATACCTTTCAAAGGCAGATAGCCATCAATTGCTTTATTATAACTAATGTAACCTTATAATCTTCCTTTCCCTATAATTCATGTTTTGATAATTTGAATTTAATGTTTGCATGTATGCAATAATTAGGAAGTTATAGACATAACAGAGAATATGATTTACAGAATGATAAAGTTTAGCGCATAAAAGATAAAAGTAGTAGTTCTAGCTTCTTTACTTTTATAAAATTTATTATAATGAGTTACTATTTTAGGATGGAAGTTGGGAATAACTAAATTAAAATGAAGAGTTATGGGACTATTGCCAATTAAATTTATAATTTTGATTTACATATTTTCCATCATGCCTATATATAATTTATCATTAGAAAACTTTTTAATACCATCTCCAAGGAACAGAAATTCAATTAAAACCATAAATTATAATAATAAATAAATATTTTATACAGTATTTTAATTAGTATTTCTAGACTTCTATTGCAGTAAAAACCATAAAAAAGTAAAAAGAAAAAATTCTGAATTGCAAAAATACCAAAATCAAAAGTAAACATTTTAAGTATTGAAAGAGTAGTTATTGTGATTTACTGCAGATTAATTGACTAGTCAAGGAAAACAAAACCAATCTGCTATCAATTAACAACTAAATTAAACGAAAGCGTTTTGTCATTCTTCCAAGTAAGGACCCAATTAATATTTTGCAGAGCCAGATCACAAGTACAATCTAAATCAATAGAATATATTAAATAGCAGCTATTAGTGCTATTTATCCAATTTTATGCATTCCACCAACATATAATCTCCACTTCTTATTTTTAAGTTTAGAAAGTTTTTCTGCAAAAATATTACTGTACTGAAGGTTAGCACTCTCCTTACTTTTAACTATTGCTTGTATCTCTCAAATTGAATTTATCAAATGTCATTCCACTAGATGACAAAAAGTTTCCATTTCTATTTTTCATGCATAAAATTCTTTCTTTTTAAAAAATATTTTTTTCGGGATTCAATTTCAATGCTTCTTTCTGGCTTACTTCATTCAGATCCAATTCTACTAACTTTCTATAAGGAGATAATATATTCAATATTCCATTAGTAAACAAATTATTATTATATTACTTTGCAGCTGTTACGCAAGTATTAAGAAATTTACTTCGCTCAATGTATTTCAATTAATTCAATCTTTGATATATATGAGGTACGCATGAGTAACACATGCCTACAAAAGTCTAGATAACATTACCTAGAAAAATAGCAATCGTAATTGAGATAGGAGGAGAATGAGTATGAGATTTAATAAGGAGAAGTAACATACGTACATAATAATGGCTTAAGGAAGAGTACAGTCCCAACACAGACACGGATGCCAAAGTTTACATATCACGTTGCAGCATAAGATTGAAGTTGTTACACAGATGAACACAGGCTGGACTGAACTCTGACTGGCTGCCGGGGAAAACTCGTTGCTCCCCATCAGCCCATACAGGTTTATTGTTTCGCCAATTGGTGGTTTTCTTTAGAATTTTTGAGTCTGTATCGCCTGTTTGACTCCGCTCTATCCCTTTCAGTGTAACATCGAATTGGAGGTAGTAAGGTCTAGAATGGGTGAATAATGTTCGAGTTTCCACCTAGGCAACTTGAGAGAGCCATGGTCGGTTTCAGATTATTAGGGACATTGCTTATCATGTCTATCATTTTTCTTAGCCCCTTTTAAATACGAAGTTAAATGTATTTGATTCTGGGCTACGTTGGGTAAAAATCGACGGTAAAAATTTAAAAATCCTAAAAATCTCTGCAAATCTTTTACCGTTTTAGGAAGTGGGTAGTTAAGTATCGGTTCCACTTTGTTCGTCAGAGGCTTGGTACCATCTTTATTGATTATATGGCCTAAAAAAGATATTTCCGGAACGCCGAAAACACATTTCGAAGCGTTAATTGTCAATCCATATGAAGTTAATCTTTCAAAAACAGTACGTAGGTGAGATTTATGCTCATCTTCCGTATGACTAAATATCAAAATATCATCTAAGTAGACGTAGGCGAATTTTAGATCTCCAAGAATTTCGTTCATAAACCTTTGAAAGGTTTGAGCTGCTCCGCACAGTCCGAAATTTAAAAACGGAAATTCGAAAAGACCAAATGGGGTGCAAACTGCAGTTTTCGGTATATGATCTGGATGGACTGGTATATGATGATATGCCCGAACGATATCAATTTTTGAAAAAATTGTCTTTCCGCTAAGCGTATTATTAAAGTCTTGTAAATGCGGGATAGGGTATCTGTCGGG